CAAAGTGAGATTTTCTACTCTGTTAGGGACTAATACAAGCACTGATAACATAGAAAACAAAAACGAAATGTAAAGTTATACTTATTTTAATATAACAAAGATATAGAGTGGGAGAAGAAGAAAACAATAAACAAAGAATAAGAGAAAGGAATGAAAATATAAAAATTGTCATAAGAGAAATGTTCAATTGTTTACTTATCAGTCGAATAATCTTATCGACGATTTTTGTTCAATATTTCTTTTTCCTTTTCTTTTTATAAGTAATTCAAGGTAGACAAACCTTTTTTATCTTGGTTGAGTTGTTTCGCTTTATATGTAGAAATGTTTCGCTCGATCAGTGTTGTTTTATTTACTTGATTATCGTCTTGACAGCGCATTGCTTTTTATTCATGGCGGATACAGTCTACCTTGGCTTTGGAGTTTCTGATGATCTCTGAAGCTTCTAACCTTCCGTCTCTGAAGATCGAAAGAAGTTTTACGTAAAATTGTCTTCCGATCTTCCAGAAAGAAAGAAATATTTGTACGTCTTCTAGGTTTAACGGCTATGATTCTTCTGACGTGTTAATGCAAGGATGCACGTAACGTTGAACTCTAATTATGAAATTAAATGAAACCGTTCAACCAATTCAAAAGCGGTCAAAGTAGTTTAGTCCTGACCTGATTCTGCGATCGCTTGATATTTGAGAATTCCTAATATTATCCAATTTTGAAGCAACAGGAAGAAAGAATGAAAGATAAATTATAAAATTTTAGTAATGGGATTTATATTTAATAGCAGAACCTCAAATGATTGATTTAATTCAGATGAATTACTTATAATATAAATTAAAAAGGTCATGTCACAGTTCTGAATATAAGAGATAGAGCGCATGGAAATATAAAAATATGAAAATGGACACTGAGTCTGCAGCGAATGGCGACAGTCTGTTTCATGTTTGAACGTAATCTTCTGTCCTGAAGATAGCGTTGAAGCATGAAACAGACGCCCCCTATCTCAGTGTCAAGTTTATATCTCTGTCTCTCTCTCTCTTTCACTATATATATGACGATGGACTCTCCTATCCTTTTCGACGTATGAGTGTCTTTCAGTTCAGATTTTGTTTATGTTTCGTATGAGGCAACAATCCTGCACGGGATTTGCAAACAAATCCACACGAAAGGCATACTGAAATGTTGACCGTCATATCGGTTGATGTATTTTCCCGAAATTTAGTGTTAATTCTTAATTTTCTCAGATAGTACAGACGATTCTTTTCAAAGTTAGTTATATCTCGGGAGGAGGTATTTCTTCAGTTTGCTCGGCTTTCAACAGCGTGTCCCAACTTCTCTTTATCTTTGCAGGATTTATTTATTTATTATTTATTTGATTTTGTCCTTGAAGCGTAACCAAGGACGTCCTACATTAAGCTTACCATGAAAAAAGTTGGCTATATATATATATATATATATATATATATATATATATATATATATATATATATATATATGTGTGTGTGTTTTAGGTTTATATTATATTATGTTTATCATAAATCTATCTACCTATATATATTCGTGTTTGTGTGTGTGTATTTAAGCTTATTTTATGTCTATTATAAATAGTTGCAATCTCTCTCTCTCTCACTCTCTCTCTCCTCTATATATATATATATATATATATATATATATATATATATTATATATACATACATAAACTCTTATGCGTCATAAGGAAGATATAGTTTCAAAAGGAATACAAGGCGTTGAAAATTTATTGAGTGATTGGAATACAAAATTGTAAAATGTAAAAATTTGACAGTGGTCAAATACGGATAAAATAATTGCTTTTCTAATATAAACTGTGGAATATAATTAGAAAATCTAAATAATTAATTAAAGATAGGAAACTAGTTACACTTCTTTTTCTATGTGCCGTGTTCCTTCAGGACGTCGGCGACCATAGCTCTCCAAAATTTTCTTCACTGTTTTCCTCTGACACTCTTAACTTCAATATATCGTGTGAGTGTCAAATTCTTTCTCTTTACACATTATTCACCCAAGAAATTTTAATTGTCTTTTTTTTCTATATATAATTGTTTTTTTGTTTTTTGGTTTCCATTTTCCTTTAAAATTCAATCGTTGTTGACATGTTCATTCCATGGTATTCTCAGCCTAATTCTGAAGAACTACTTCTCTGTTGGCTCATGTCTCTTCTTCGACTGTAAGTTCATTCATTGCCATTTAGTAGAACAGATGTTACATAATAGTTCAGCACATTGTTTCTAACAAAATCTTCCTGTATTTTACTAGTTTACTTATCGCTTGGAAGGCAAATTTCTCTATTCCAGTTCACCTTCGGGTTTCGCTGTCATTCGCCATTAAAATGCTATCTATATATTTAATTTTTTGTTATTTATTCGAATTCTTGGGCTATTCCTTTTGCTGACGACTGTACATTTTTTTTTATTTTTACAACTGATACAGTAGTTAATTTATGACATGACGAGTTAACATAATAAATAGAACGAGAATATTATACAATCGTAGATTTAATAATATGTTCGGTTCAAGATTCCATGAAAATTACCTAGATTGACAGACAGCGGAAGACGGCCGAAGTGCACAACGCCCGAAAGCTTGTCATAATAGCTACAAAGATGAGAGCATTATTCCGAATATCAATAATAAACAGCACAAAAATAAATATATAAATTAGTACAGAAAAACTGATTTCTCAAATAGCATTTTTTATTATCGAATGTAGAGCTAAAATGGATTAACATATAACAATGGTAAAATCTGTATGTCAAGGAAATTCTCAGGTAGAACGATTTAGAAAACAACATGGTGAAGTTATAGTAATGTTCTAGAATTTTGATATAGGCAATTAAATCATAGGTCACTTAAAAATTCGTGATGGTCAAGTGCAAGGCAGAATGTAAGTTCATTGAGAAGCACCATTAATCATACTCAAGTTTTAAGTTGGCGTGTATATTCAATCATGTCAAAGTTATTCCATATTCTCTAGAGCAGACGTTTGCTCACCTTGCCGAAAATAATTGAAGATACCAAATTAATGGAAATTGTGTCACAATATCGAGTTATCAATATAATAAAAAACGTATGGTCCGCCATCAAGAGAGATGCATATAAAAATATTAAACAATGTTAGAAAATTTAATAAAATCAATGAAAGACCGACGAATGATATATAATATCAACGAGCTCATATTAACATATGCATTAAAAAACAATAACAATTTATTCGGTAAAATGGAATATTCTTCTACTCAAATGCATTTGCGGTCTTTCACTTTATTATATATTTATAAATTCAAAAAATATTTTATATAATTTCTTCTTTCTTCTTTATTTGTACCGTGACCCAGTACCCTATCAGTTTTAGCTTTAAGCAATGTATGAACCGTACTATACTTACCAGATATACATCGATATTTTCCCTCTCCTTGACTTGCCTCAGTGTGTTTTATAAATGTTAAATTTTCCAAGCGTTTCTTTCTAATTATGTGTCAAAAATCACTGATGATATGACTCATTTTCGTAGTAAATTTCAGAAGTAATATATAAACAATCTGGTAAATTCCTTACTTTGTAACTTTGATGACAAACGTTGAACATTAAAATATACTATTATTTGAATGAGAAAGAAAATAAAGGATTGTAATTGACATCAAAGTTGTGAAGTGTGATTTCACTTATTTGATGTCTGATTTCGTAAGAGGTAAAAGGTTTCAAATTGGAAAAAGGACAATAGTTCTAGAGGCGAGATTCTATTAAAATTGTGGAAATTTCGCTTCATATTGCAGTCGGCATGTTGATTTCAAAATGTGTTTTTTTAAACTTAGAAATCTATGGAAGAAATTAGGTTTTGTAAATACGTGTCCTTGCTTAACAACGGTCTAAATTATAATTTTAATTTAACTATTTCGACGAGGAATAAAATGTGCCAAAATTAAGTAATATTTCTGCTATGCACATCGTTCCAAACTTTGAAAAAAAAAAGTATAATGCAGTTCAAATAATGTAGGGACAAAATAAAATAAAAGAGCCTCCACCCGAATAAGTAAATAAAAATGAAACACCGGAGTAATTCCTTTGGCTGTAGTAGAAAATATTCTTGCAAAGTTATTATATTTAAAACGAATGTCCTATTTCACTGTAGATATATCCCTTTTGCCTAATTCTGGGGGCAACAAGTGCAAAGAATTCTGTTTCACACTCAGTGATTATAAATGCTCGTTTTTATTTTATTTTATTTAGAAGTTACATGAGCGAAAAAATAGTTGTAAACGTCTAAGCTAACAGAAAAATTATGACAAATGGAGGAAAGGAAGAGAAAACTAATTCAGTTATCGTCAATAGGGAGAAAGAGACAAATTTGCTGCAATTTCGACCAGACTCGGGGTTATCGAAAGGTCAAATTCAATCCGAGATTTTCGTGCCAATTTCAAGTTGAATCCCACTGAACTGCAGGTTGAGAATGTCATTTCCAAACTCACACGCACACACACACACAGGGGTTTTACCCAGTAAGTGACAAACCAGAGAGTGTTTGAATGTCCGCATCAAATAGGTTTAAGCAAATACATACATAGATATGTGTGTGTATATGTGAGTACGTGTCGCATCTTGTGTGGTTCACTGTTGTAGTAGGTGGCCCGAATAAATCTATCTCTATCATTCTTGCCGGCATATTTCAATTTTCGGTTCTGGTGGGGGCAGTAGTTTTGGAACATCGCCAGAAATGGAAGTGAAAGTGAAAGCAAAAATAAAAGTAGGAATATAATTGTGATTAAGGAAAAACACGGGAAATGGCTGAAGAAGTCCGCAGCCGGGATCAAAACAACTCCAATAATTTACAACAGCGGATGGGCAAAACCTGACTACTTGGAAATTGACATCAGAAAAAAGAAAGGGAGAAAATGGAGGAGAAGCCATGGTGGATATTAAGGAAGCAAATAAGGGCTTAGGAGGAAAAAAACTGGAAAACATTTCGCGGAAAGATGAATTATGGGATGTGGGGTAAGTAGGAAGGCAAACATGGAGACAGATCAGAAGAAATAAGTGATTTCCAAACGCAGTGTGGAAATGATGGTATTTGCATGTCAATCTTGGATTTTTTATTTCGACTTCGGCAATGGTAAGGAAAGCTTATTCCAATTTACCAAAGATTTTAGACAATGAACAAATTGGTAGCAGTGATTTTTTCAGAATTTTCACTTTTTTCAATGTTGGATCATTTTTTTTTAAAAAAGTTCATTTCTTATTATAGCAATTTCTTTCTCTTTCATAATATTTTGATTATTTAATTTCATTCTTTGTTAGAATTTTTCTTTTTTTATTTGAATGTTGAGTATTTCATTTTGTTACCATAATTGGTTATTTTCCTTTTTTTGCTTGATTCACTTTTAGTTTTCTTTTTCAAGTTTTATTTCTTTCACCTATCCGTCATTTTCGGCTTTCTTTCTTTCTTTTTTTCTTTCTTTCTTTCTTTTAAATTTTTTTATTTCCGTTTCCATTTTTTAAGAATACGATTTCCTGCTTCCTTATTCTTTTTCGTACTTTCTTTCTTTCTTTCTTTCTTTTTTCTTTCTTTCTTTCTTTCTTTCTTTCTTTCTTTTAAATATTTTTTATTTCCGTTTCCATTTTTTAAGAATACGATTTCCTGCTTCCTTATTCTTTTTCTTACTTTCTTTCTTTTAATTCTTTTTTCTTTCTTTCTTTCTTTTTTCTTTCTTTCTTTCTTTCTTTCTTTCTTTCTTTTAAATATTTTTTATTTCCGTTTCCATTTTTTAACAAACGGATTTCCTGCTTCCTTATTCTTTTTCTTACTTTCTTTCTTTCTTTTTTCTTTCTTTCTTTCTTTCTTTCTTTCTTTCTTTCTTTCTTTTAAATATTTTTTATTTCCGTTTCCATTTTTTAACAAACGGATTTCCTGCTTCCTTTTTCTTTTTTTCTTTCTTTCTTTCTTTTTTCAGTGTTTCTTTCTTATTTGTCATATTCATATTCTGGCGAATATAACAATGAATCATAATTTTAAAAATTCTGTTGACGTTTACAATATTCATTCTCTCACTAATTAGTTACGAAAGAAAATAATTCCTGTTTGGCCGTGATTACCCTACGAAACATATCGAGACTAATTTCTTGTCATTGGTATATTTCTATATTTGTCTAGGGAAAATGGATAATAAGCAAATGGTCAACCGTCTTTTCTCTTCAGAAAATTGCAACATCCATTGTCAGTCTTAAAATAATGGGATCGTTATATTTCGGACTGATACACACTTTCTGGTTAGCTTTTAAATTTTCTATGTTTTAGCCAGTTTAGTCTTAATATTTAAACAAATATTTCGTTTAAATTATTTAGTTAAAAACGCTTCAGCTTTCTTGACGATGCCAAATGTTACCAGCAAGAATAAGTAATCGCATAGAACGTAATCATTATAGATATAAAGGAAGAGAATCTTCATCTGGCGCAGAGCCACGATCGTTGGGCAACTAAGGGAATATCGAACAAATGAAATGACTATAAATCTTGATATATATCTTTAGGAAAATGCTTTATAAATATTTTCTTCGTCTTACCTTTATTTTAGACTTCATTTCTCACAGTTTTATTTCCCTTTCTCTCTCTTTCTTTTTTCTTTCTTTCTTTTCAATTTGTTTCTATTTCTCTTATATTTGTTCTTTGTTCCTCTTATTCTTAATTTATTCTTTCTTTTTTCTCCTTCTTGTTTACTTGCATTTTGTCATATCGTTATCGATTCTTTTATTACTTCTTGCATTATTACACATGCCATTCCAATTTGTAGGGTTTTACAAAAAACAGACTTTTATTATTATAGATTATTTTCACTTCTTTTATTTCTTGCATACTTAAAGCTACTTGTTCATTATTCTTATCTTTTTATTTTTTTATATAATTCAATTATTTCTCGCTTTATAATAATGTTTTTCAATTACGCTTCTTTTATTTCGTATTAAAATTAATGATACTTTTTAAATAAGTTAGTTCACCATAATTAATAGATGATTCATTATTGCTACCAGTTTATCATTTTCCTTATTTTAATATATTTCTCAAAATTAGCTTCCATTTGTGAAAATTCGTAGTTTGATAATAGGCGTTGTTATTTATTTATTTATTTTACAGTTAGGTTCACTCGCACAAGGCACAGGGCAGGTTAAAATTGTAATGATCGAGGAAACATGCTCAAACAAGTTCGCGTGAAGAAGCTGCTCGAGTGGAAGGTCTCACCAATGAAATACGGGTGGAATGTGGATGCTTTGCTACAATGTATGAGACATGACTGCTCCTTGCAGTAAAGGTGAGAACTGGCGAAACTAAGAAAGATTGTTCGTCTGAGTACTTCATGGAAGCGGTGATAGAGTAGTGAGAAGTTTGCTACACCTGTGAGTGAGGGTTTGCAGGTTGGGAAATAAAGCTGGGGTAATAATAATATAGGCGATATATTATAATTATATATATATATATATATATATATATATATATATATATATATATATATATATATTTAGGCATTTTTTCATCGATGCTGGTTTCATTAAATACTATAGTTTTGTCTATTTATTTTAAGTAAGTTCCTTTCATAACTGTAACATTTTAGGCATTTAAAACAACATGCCTTGTCACGTACACAATTCCGGAAAATCCTCGTTGAAAACACAACTTTACTTAAACATGAAAACAATAAACAAAAATTAAAAATTCTTGAAGCTATATACATAAAACTGTTGAAACCTAAACTGAACAAAATGAACTACGAAAGTTCCACAAATATTCTTAAATGCCTATAATTGATAACCGAAGCCATTGGTTTATACCAATGGCTTCCCATACTTAATACTTCTCGTTTTCACTCTCGCGTGGTCATGTGTGACGTCACGTGCTGGGAAGCGGTTTCCGCTTCCGCGTCACGTATTCACGTGTTAGTTGTTGCTTTGAAATTTTTCATGCAACAAAAACAGACTATCATTATTCTTCCGTGTATTGGTTGATATATTGAAAAGTAATTGTCATCTTTGATAATGGCTTATGTAAGCCGAAAGCTTACATTGGATTTAAACATGTATCAATATGGTGATTTCCTTTCGTCCTTCAATGATAATGTTATTAAACTTATCAGACAATATGATTTTACTTAAAATAAATAGACAAAACTTGTTTATATTATTTAATGAAACATGCATCAATATATATATATATATATATATATATATATATATATATATATATATATATGTGAAAAGTGAATATAAATATAAATAAATATATATATATGTATAATTATTTATATATTATATGCGCGGTACTTATTAGAAAGCGCTCAATATCAGAGATAGAGCTAACATATTTGGTTGGATAGATGTGAGTTTGTGACCCTGAGTAAACAAACTAGCTGAACAACATGCTTTCATCACGGCAAAGGACCACAAAGCCAGCTTCATAGAAAAACCAACATTCAGACTAATTAACCCGGCGAAGAGCGAGATAGGAAAAATTAGTAAGAAGATATTAGAAAATATCAACACCAACCTAAGGGAAAAATTAAGTCTCAACCAGTGGAAGAACACCAAAGCCGTCATAGAGTGGTTTAAATCAATAGACAACAAGAACAAATCCACTTTCATCCAATTTGACATTGTGGATTTTACCCTTCCATTACAGAAAGCATATTAAATGAAGCCATACAACTGGCACAGCTAAATGTAAAACTCACGGACGGTGATATAAAAATAATCAAGCATTGCCGCAAATCCCTGCTGTTCCACAACAATGAACCATGGGCAAAGACACAAAACCACAACCTGTTTGACGTAACAATGGGTAGCTACGATGGAGCAGAAATATGCGAATTAGTAGGCATACTCATCCTATCATACCTGGCCAGAATCCTGGAGAGAAAGGACACAGGATTATACAGAGATGACGGTCTTATCTTAATAAAGGAATCCAATGGCCCCAAAAGTAGACAAATTCAGGAAGAAAATAGTGAACGCCCTAAAAACATTGGATTCATAATAGAGATAAATACAGGCACAACTATAGTAAACTTCCTTGACGTCACTCTTAACCTGATCAACAACACATATGAACCATACAAAAAGAAAATGACACACCAACTTACGTACACACATCCTCCAACCATCCACCTTCTATCATCAAACAAATACCAAAAGTCAATCAGCCGCAGACTATCTGAGAA